TGCTGTCGCTGGTAGGTCCGCGGCCCGCGCGGCACCCCGGGCGGGGAGGGCGGCGCCCCGCTGCTGCGATCCCCCCGCCGTCAGCACCCGGGCCCGGAGAGAGGCAGCCTGTATTCAGATGTTCACCTTCACGCTCCGCTCTGCAGGCGGAACACCTGCTGATTACCCCTGTGCCTCCTTTTTACCCCAGGGGGATAGTTCACTCTCAGTGGCATTAACTGATGCTCATAAAAGAGTCTGTTTACGAAAGCAGGCTGCTAAAAAGAATAATGGGATCTTTAGAAATACCACCTGTAACCCACAGAGAGTACAAGGTATTTAAGGGGGAATGACCAGCCTGAAAGCTGTTGGTCTTAGGAACCACCCATGGTGTTGTACCCCGCAGGGCGGGCTCTGGGTGGCTCTGGGTGCAGTGTTAATGACTTTTCTGATTCTTTTAATTGATTCCACTCGAAAAGATTTAACAGAGCTCAGGTTTTAACAGGAACTTTAGAAAATACTTTTTCTTTTGGCTCTGTTTAGGAATTTCCTTGCAGCTGTTCAGAAAGCCCATCAATATACATGTCATGTGAGTGTCCACTCTTTTAACCATAGATTACACGGTTTTTGTTGATAACAAAAATCCTCCTTATTCCTCTGCTGTTTTATGATGGTAATTGCAGGATCAACAGTCAAGGTGATGACCTGAAGGGGTTGTTTTTCAGTCTAGATTTGTGGTGAGAAGGGCTGGATTGAGCGTCAGAAACACGCATTATTGGTTTTATGGCTGTTATTAATTGCTGAGCCCTTTAACCTCTCTCTCCCCAAAACTCAGTTTCTTCTGTGTTAATATGAGGACATCAACCCATTGCACAACGCACAGGATTATTGTGAGGATCAAATGGAACAATGTATGTGTGGAAGTAAATTGTGTTATTTGGAAAGAACAGATTTCCGTGTACAGTGTACCCTAAAATATATCCTCACTTACATATTATGATTGAACAATGCTGTGTAGAGAATACCTTTTCTGATTTTGAAACCTTTTTTTCCTTTCATAGGAGTTTACATTTTCACTATGTTTTGGGTATCATGGAGATGTATTTTGAGGAACCAACATTCCTAGAGTAAAGAGATAATGTCATATACTGGCTAGTGTGGCTCAGTTGGTTGGAACATCCTCCTGTGCACGGAAGGGTCTCGGGTTTAATTCCCAGTCAGGGCACATACCCACGTTTAGAGTTCGATCCCTGGTTGGTGCACGTGGGGGAGGCAACCAATCGATGTTTCCCTCTCCCATCAATGTTTCCCTCTTTTCCTCTCTAAAATCAATACAATAAATATATCCTAGGGTGAGGATTAAAAAAAAAATAAGCCTAAGATTCAAAGAGTTGTGACCCAGATCACATATATTTTTATCTCATGATACATTTTTGCATCATGTACCGCAGTTTAAGTCTAGAACACATGATATCGATGAGAACTCAGTTGCTGTCTAGATAGAGTCATCTTTTTAGCTTTTGTTAAAGGGGGACCTTACCTTTTACATTCAGATCACTTACATTATTTAGTATCAGTACTTTCAGTATTTAGCACACTGCAAGGTACTCAGCAATTATACATTGAATCTGTATGTGAACTCCAATATGAAATCATATCTAACTGCCCGAACTCTTGAAAGGTTGCTAAGTTTCCAGTTGCTGAATTTAGTTTCTAAATCTTTCCTGCTCATTTACTCAGAGATCCACAATCAGCGTCAGTGAAGGTGTACCTTTGGAACATGCATTCCAGCCTTTGTCCTCTGCAATCCCCTGGTGAAACCGCATTCCGTTATGCTCTGATGACACAACTCGGAATTTGACATGGAAGTGTGCTAGGACTTCCACAAGTAGGACAATCCTGAATTTTTTTTTTAATCTCATGAGGTGGGGTCTTTTGCTCTAACACGAATTGAATTGGAAAGAATTTTTACCCCATGTCTTTCAATGTAGTACTGTGGGCATTAATATCCACCAAAACACATAGCTGTATTTTTGAAACTCTTAATTTACTCATTCTTCTTTCCCTTCCCTACTTCAATCCCCTTCCTCCCCCTCAGACCTTTTCCAAACGATGCAGTTCCAAAGGGAAAAGTCTACAAAAGGAGCGTGACAGTTGTCATCAAAGAGCTCTGGGACATGTCTTCTGGAAAGGAGCTGCAATTATGGGATTTCTTTTTCAGGTTTAACATGAGCACACTCTTCACAAAGCTGGAGAAACGGGTTGACTCATTGCATCTGGTGTTGAGGTGATGAGGCCAGCCACTGGTGAGGTCCTCAGCCAGTTTTATCTAGCAGGATAAACACAAGCTTCCTCTTGCAGGAGATAATCAGTGACAATATGACTTGCATTTTTCTGAAGATATTAAATGAGGAGTAGGTATGTGAGGGTGGGTACAGAGGGGAAGATCCTGCCCTGCCCTGGTTCTCCTGAATCGAGTTTGATCCCAGGGGGAGACCAGCTGGCTCTGCTCTGGGGACCTTTGAACGTAGGCCCTGGAAAGGCTTATTTCTAGGCACCAAGCCATTCTGCAGAAAACTCCAACAAGCGTTTTCTACTTGTATTAGAAAGTAGTATTCTCTAGATGCCTCAGTAGGCATGTTAAATACTTTGTTGGATTCCAAATTAACTTTTGAACTGAAATGTCCACTTCCACCAAGGTTGGACTTGAACATTTATTTGAAATGTCCTTGTCCCCTGGCGTAATTAGGATCAGATAACTTTCAATCACATGGCAGTAAATTTCTTTATTCTCCAGTTTGCTGTCCTACAGCATTAGTTTTGTTTGTGACCTTCTGCTGTACTTTTGAATACATAGACCCCTGTGTCTCAGTGGTGGTGAGTGAAGGCTACTTTCACCTTTCAATGAAAGAATTTTTTCTTTTTTTAAATATATTTTTATTGATTTCAGAGAGGAAGGGATAGGGAGAGAGAGAAACATCAATGATGAAAGAGAATCATTGATTGGCTGCCTCCTGCATGCCCCCAACTGGGGATTGAGCTCACAACCCAGGCATGTTGACTGAATCAAACCTGAGACCCTTTAGTCCTCAGGCTGACACTCTGTCCACTGAGCCAAATCTGCTAGGGTTTGGGTGTGGATGTTATTAATTTCATTAGTTTCTCTCTGCTTCTGCTTGCCATACATTATCTTATCTCTAGAATACAGCATGGAGAATATTCAAGATAATTCTCTGCTCTTCATCTGACTTGGAATTGACATTGCTCTTTGGTTTATGAAATTTAACATCTGTGCAGCCATAGTTTAGCATGTTATTGCAAAATGACCAGAGCATCTTTGTAAGTAGGAGTAGTTGGCCTTATTTATCAGAAATTTGGGTGTGAATGTTAGCTTCTCTGTCCTTCCTCTTGTAACACATTATCTTATCTCTAAGAATACAGCATGGAGAATATTCAGGATAGTTCTTTGGTCGTAACCTTACTTGCATTGCATCAACCCAGCGATAGTTTTGCATTTTATTTCAAGATAACCAGAGCATCTTAGAGGCCAGGGAAGTCTTCTATTTCCTCCTTGTGGTAATTGTTTTACATTTTCTAACAAAATGTGCCAAAGATTTCTGGGAACCCAACAAGACTGTTGTGTTTACTACGGGACCTAACACAGTGCCTTATACTCAAGGTCAGCCTTTGGTCGAATGAATGAATGAATGAATGCACTGTGTTTTCACTTAGACCTAGTGACACTTTGACTTGGAAAAGGGTTAGATGGAAAGACTACTAGTAAATGTGCAACTACTTACTCAGATGGCCAGTTGAAGGGCAGGAACTCAAACATAGATGCACTACTAGAGATGACACTTGGGTGTAAATTCAGGAAGAAGATTAAGCATTTTATTAGTGAATAATAATAATTATCACTATAATATATAATAATATATGTAATAATGTAATATAATCTCTATATATAAAAGGCTAATATGCAAAGTGTTCCCACGGGTGTTCAACTGGGAGACCAGGAGTTTTATCACTCGCTATGACATGTGCTGACTACCAGGGGGTGGTGCAGAATGAAGAAAGGCCCAGGCTGGTGGCTGGCAGCCAGCAGCTGGGGAAGGGAGGCCCCTGCTGGCAGCCAGAAGGCCCCATCAGCCCTGATCACAGGCCAGGCCTATGGACCCTACCCATGCGTGAATTTCATGCACGGGGCCTCTAGTTATTGCTATAAAAGGGAGAAGGAAAAGATAGTGAATGGACTATAAATAAAAGTTACAACTAAGGCCAACCTACTTAAGAGACCAAACAGGGCCCCTACAATAACTTGGATTCAGAATTAGGATCTAGCCATTGGGCATTTGCTCAGGTACAAACAACTCAATATGACCATCTGGCACGTACAAGTAAGGCCATCTTACAGGTACAAACATGACTCTCCTTCCCTTATACCAAGGCCTCTTCTGTTTGCGTGACTTTGCTGCCACACTCCAAATTCAGCCTTTGTGGGTCTAGTAAGGAATTCTTTCCTCTAGCCTTGCTTTCTATTAATTCCTATCTTCTGATTTGAGTCATATTCTAGTCTTTTTCTCTCTCAGCATTTATATGTTAACTGTTTCTACTCCATGAAGTCTCTTTCTCAGAGATACCCATTCAACATGTTTCTTTTCCCCTTCTATTCTACTTTTCCAGTTAATTCTGGACATTCTGTTTTGCTGTTTCCTGCCCCATCATATACTAATTTTGTTTTTGATAATTCTATTGCAAACATTTGGGACTTTTAAGACATAGCAAATGTGTTTTATCTATATTACGGGCTTGTTGGACAAGCCAGAGAACTTAAGTGTGATTTATAATTTTTTTTTTTTTTTTGGCCCAGAGGAAGGGCATTTCAAATTCTAAACAATTTAGGGACAAATAAGTTTTTGGAATACAACTTGTAATTAGAGCTCTGCCTTTGTTTAAAATAAACATGCCTCTATCAACCATGAAATATCCTCCAAACAACAAAAAATAAGCAAAAATGCATTTAGCAGAACAGAGATTACTCTTCTAAGCCGAAATCCTATGCAACAAGAATTGATCATCTGAATGGTGACCCAACATGAAAATCCTTTGGCATCAAATCAGAGCTAAGTTATGTGTTTACCAAGGAAAGAAAATACATTTAAGAGGGATTTTAAAAAAAATGACTAGAATGTTCAACTAAATATTAACTAGAGCACTCTAGTTCCCGAGTATTTTCGTTATCCAAGATTTTGAATTACAAGAGTTAGGATAACATTTTTATATTTTTCATTATTTTCTTCTTCTTCATTCACTTTTCTTTCTTTTCTGCTGGGGT